CCCCCCGCCGGGGGGGGGGCGCCGCCACAAAATGGCGGCGGGGGCGCGAGCGCGGGACCCGGGGCACGGGCAGGCTGCCGGGCAGAGCGCGCAGAGCCCGCGCATGCGCGCAGCGCCCCCTTGCCACGCGCTGCTCTGCCTCGCCGGCTCCGGGGGGAGGGGCGCGCTAGCTGCTAGCGACCGTTGGTGGAGGGAGGGGCGCGCGCCCTTCAGGAGGGGAGAGGAGGGCGCTGCGTCCCCTCATAGCTCAGCCCTCAGGAGGGCGGGGAGGGGAGGAGCTGTCTCCTCGCTTTCCCTCACAGTGTTAGGGTGCTTCCGAAAAGAAAAAAAGAGAGACGTTTTACGCAGATTTCTGGTAGCAGCTTGGGAGCGAGCTCTGGCTATTTCCCCTTCATGGCCAGGGGTAGATCTAGGCTCTTGGAAAAGGGGCGCAGGTGGTGTGGGGCAGCCTCGCGCGCAGCAGGCGCCAGGTTTTCTCTGGGGCCGGATAGACTCGGCGTTGCCAACCCGCATGACTTCTCGGAGTTGTTTTTAAAGCCTATGCTTTGGGCATGTGGACAGCATAGCTCTCTCATATCTAGCTCATAGGCATACGATAGTATAAAATAGGTATGAGGAGTTTCTCTAGACACTTGTGTAAATGTGTCATTGAAACATGGAAAAATGCTGTCCTAAATATATAGAAAATTGTATTTTACATGCATGCAACAGTACGAAATAAGTACGAGGAGTTTCTCCAGACACTTGTGTAAATGTGTCGTTGAAACACGGAAAAATGCTCTTAAACGCAGTTTTATATCTATTTTATAGGCACGGAAGAGTATAAGTAAAGAGTTTCTCTAGACACTAGAGTAAATGTGTCACTGAAGCCCAGAAAAATTCTCTCCGAAATCATAATTTTATATGCATGACATCCTTCATACACTTGATGGTTGCAAAAGGCTTTGATTTAAAACGGCAGCATTGGAAGAAACCCTGTCCACAGTAGAAAAATTGGTATTGATTTAATAACATAGCTCTTTCTTTTATAGATATTAATATACATGCATAAAAAAGAGCTAAGTTTTTCACATTCCTCAAGCCTACTAGCTATTTTCCTGCTAGGCAAGGGGCTCAGCCTCACCTTCTTCAGTTTCAGGTCAGAACAAAAAGTCCTTGCTAGATCTAATATGAAATTAAAAAACAAAGAACATCAAGGAGGCCCAAAATAGTCCAAAGATGTCGTGTCTTAAGTGCCCTAATCAGCCTAGTGACATGTATTTTCCATTCCCCTGTCCCTTGTTTTTCCTTTGGGACACCCTGGATGTCTCTGAGGGTTTTATTTCATCTAAAGAAGTACAAGAGAAGCCAAAGCCAGTTCCTAAAGCTGGAGCTACAAACAAGCTGCAGGGTTGTGAAACAGCTGGGGTGGAAAGGGAGGAAATGACAGCAAAAGAAAGGATAGTTTGAACAGTGGAATATCAAGACTATCAAAAGGATAGGGGGTCCTTAACACCTGCAGAGTAGAGAAATTAGTAGGAATCAGGGAGACAATAGCCGTAACAGTCAAGAGATTTCCTCAGCACTGCCTGAACAGAGATGCTGTTCCCCTTTCCAGGTAGTTGGTTTTAAAGTTTGGGTGGAACAGGAAGCAAAAGGGGGTGCAACTGCTAAACAGACTAACCTCATGTGCTACTGTGCATACTGTGGATTAGATTAAGACCAGGGGTTGTGGCACCCGGGGCTGCCTTGAGAGCCTTTGAAGGGTGCTGTGCAGTATACCTGTGTTTATTAGAGACAAGAACAGAATACAGTCTGTGTGGGGCATATAGATACATGTACGGGACATCTTGTGGGAAGATGACATATAGTATATAAATTGATCCTCCCAGAAGATGGCAGCAAAAATAGCATCAGCATTATCAAAGCTTCTGGGAATTCCTTTTTAACTTGGAGTTTATTGAACAAGCTTCACAGGGAAAACATTTTCTGAAGAAGGTTACGCCTACCTGATGAATATACTGCCTCCCCTGACCTAAAACAAGACCTTACTTTCAGCTAAAGGTCAGTGTAATGAACAGATTAAAGTTGCAAAATCACGTGTTGAGTAAACAGAAGGAAAATCATTTGTCTGGCACAGCTGTGCCCTATTACCTGCTGTTGTTTTGCAGCTCCCTGTCCATGCTGAATCAGGAGAGTACCCTCAGAAACATTACACTTGAGGGCCTAATCTTGAGAGGCTTTCAACCCAGGTCCAGAGCATTTCCTAGGATCAGACTTAGCATGAATATAAGGAAAAGGGATGTATCTCTTAACTGGTTTAGTGCAGAGGAGGCAACACAAAAAGGTAAGTGCAAAGAAAGTAAAGTGGAAGATAGCAGGTAGTAGTTCAGCATAGCATTTTATTTCTGCATATGGGATCAGCACATATGAGAGAGGCAAGGCAGCAAAGAGTTGCTTCATTATGTCATATGTAAATTACAAAGATTTTAAATATTCTCATAAAACCTTGAATGGAATCGTTTGCTATTCCTAACTAGTGGAGTACTGAGTTGCTTGTTACTGTAATTATAATTTCCACAGCAGTTTGCTTGACATACCAATATGGTATCTCCCAGGACTGAACGCCAACCACTCCCAAACCACTCACAGTACTATTAAAGGTTAGCACAGAATCACTAGTTTGCACAGTTAATGGCAATTGTCTGAACATCTGCAGTTGATACATAATTTCATATTATGACCACAAGATGGCAGCATCTTACCAAACAATCATTCGTTGTATACTAGTTGTTTTAAATGGTGTGACTGGCAAATGTGCTCTTTTTGGCTGGCAAAAAGCATTTTTTTTAAACGGAGGCTTAGGCCACAAAGTTTGTGTAACGTGTATTTATAAGGAATTTTTCATGGGTGCTAGAAACTAACAGAGGTGTTTCTGGGGTGCTGGGAGTTACACACTTCATAACTTCTATAGGCTGAGTGCATTGCTCACAGCAGGGACTCCTTGTAATCTGCCATACCCACCCCCACAAGCACTCGGTATGCTACCTGTCTATCCCCTTGCATTTCAAAGAGCCCCTACAACTTCTCCAACACCCTATCTCATGCTAGGTACTCTATGTGCTCCCCATCTCCTTTACTTCCTCTGTCAGCACCACCATGTACACCTCATGCAAGGGGTTCTGAGTGCCCAGTTCCCCACTTCTCTTCCATTCACCCCTTCTTCCCATTTTCCACAGAGGATGGGGCCAAATGCACAAGCTGGTTGAATCCCAAGGGCTCAGCGGAGGTCAACCAGACACCTTCTCTGGAGGCCTGGGGCAGTAGACTGTGTCTGTGGTCACCTCTCTCACCTCTGAACAACCAAGACCCTCCCCAAGAAACCTCCCACCCCTACTTCTGCCATGCAGGGGTGCACAGGGAAGGCTCAGCCCCCCACAGCTGGGTGCAGGGGTGGGGACATGGTCCCTCTGAGTGCCTTACACAGCCAGGGAGGGCTGGGGAGCAAATGGCCCTTTCCCCTCTGAACAGCTTTTCTAGAGCTCCACAGTCCAGGCAAACCCTCCTGTGAGGACTCGCTGGGGTTGTTCAGGGAATTCACCTCTGCCCCCCAGGTCACTGCTGACAGCTGTAGCTGGGAATGCTCCAGGCTGGGATTCATGCACCTCCACAAACACCCCTGGGAAGTGAAGCCCCAGCTTTCTCCCTCTGTGCATCCATTCAGACTGGGGCCTCTGGCTTCACAGTCCCAGCTCTGAGTGTCAGGATCTGAACATCGAACAGCAAATCTCAGAGCGAGTGAAACAGGACACTTCTGTACAGCCAGGACTGCCAAGAGCACCAGACCTGTGCTAAGTGCCCAGGGCTGGAGCAGGAGGCAGCAGAACCACGTGGATTTGAAATGACAAATGATGAGCGGCTGCACTCACCATGGAGTCCACCCGGTGCAGCCCTGGGGACCAGGGTGCCAAAGGCATTCCCAGGATTTGGGGCACTCTGGGCTGGACAACAGGCCTCTGAGCCCAGCTCTGGTCCTCTGGGAACATGAACATGAGGGCTCCAATAACGCAGCTCCACAGCTTCCCCTGCCTTTGCCCTGGTACAAAGGATGTGCCCCTTACCCAGGAATCCCGTCAGAGCCTCCTGCAGCTTGTTCTCTCCAGGGAAATCCCGGAGTCTCTTCTCCAGCTCAGGGAACTCGGGGGCTGGATGCAGAGGTGTCACCTCCTCGCCCCTGCAGAGACACATGGGGAATTATTCCTCTTGCTCCTCAGCCAAGTTCCCACGTCCTCAAGGCCACAAGAGGAAATGGTGGGAGTTGGGGCACCGGGCACTGCCTGCCTGAGCTGTGTGACAGGCCAGTGGGCTGCTGGCTCCCAGCCCTGGCACTGGAAGGTGAAGCCGATACTCAGAGGCCTTCAAACAGAGTTACACCAGCAGGTCTCAACCAGCAAACCCTTCCTGTGCAGCCACTGCTCACACCAGCAAAGCACCACTGTTCCCTGTACAGCTTGCACCAGTGTCAGAGGGAACAGCTGTACTGGGGAAGACCTGGATGCTGATGTCACTGAGTGTAGTCCAGGGTTTTTGCCCAGTAAGCTACATGGTGCAGGGGTTGGAGATGTTCACTCTCCTAATGGTCTTGGTCCATCCTCAGAGAAAATGCAGCCAGGCAGAGACAGCCTGAGCCCCCCTGACATGTGGCCTGATCACAGCCCCCTCTGGA